AATAAGAACCTATTTAAGAACCTGCCTAGCCTAAAATTCCACTAAGCACCATTTATATAAGAACCCGTTTAGGCTAAATTTGAAAAACTTGGTTCTTATAAGCGGGTAAGTACTGTATTAGGGGAATAAGTTATTGACTAATGATTAAACACGGCTGGGACCGGTTGTRTGAAGTTAGTACGGTTGCCATGTTGTCAGTTCCATTACCGCTAAAGATATCCCTTGTTTCTCACACCCAACACGGACTACATGTATTAAGTGATATTGAGGGCATTATCAAGTATTTTCCTACCCTAAACCCACCCTACCATATCTATTGGATGTTTCGAAAACAGATCTCCGATATCAAGTATTTTTCCTGCCACCTTCCCCTCATCCGTCCTTCCCACCCCACCCCATTCCATGTCATCCTCCGACTACCCTATACGGTTGATGTGTTCATAATTATGATTTTTCTTACAACAATATCAATAGTTAGTGCGAAAACGTTAATGAAGTCGTACTTGCTTTAGTATCCACCAAACTATAGCAGGGCAAATTAGAAAAAAAGAGAACACAAACAACAATTGTTTATCATGAACAGGTCATAGTTCAGTAGCCAATCAGAACGCTGGAGTTGTGCTAAACCATTAGTTAATAGGAAACAAAGTAATTCACATAATAGCCGACTTGCGAATTTTGCTTCAGTAGTCAAACACAAAAGAATCAAGACGAGGCACCGTGCATAAAGCTCAGTCAACCATGAAAAACTATTGTCTGTTCAAAAGTCAGGCAATTCGGCTATTCAGTAAGATTTAGCGCTTTTTAATTCGTTAACGATTCTAGCTACACAGACAAATAACAATATCCTCTTCTAAGGATCGAGATCTTCGGTTCGTTTGATGGATGGCGGTTCTTTAAACAAGGGCCGTGTGGAGATTGGTTATTCCGGAGCCTGGGGTACAGTTAGTGACAGGTATAAACGATGGAACTTGACAGCTGCTAACATAGTGTGTCGTATGTTGGGATACCGTAATGCATCTTGGACTGGACGAGCCAAAGTGTTAGGCAATGGTTTCATAATGACAGCATACAAACACTGCACAGGCAACGAAACATCACTCGAGTACTGTGAATATTACCCCAAAACTTATTTCGACGCCTCAAGTCATCATTCATATGACGTTGGAGTTCGGTGTGCCAGTGATAAAGGTAATAAATGTAACCTAATAGTCTCCTTCACGTCTCTCTGAGCCATCTTGAAAAGTAACAGTGCTTTTGTATCGGAGTGAGACGACTGTTGAGTGTGCAATGATAGAAACCTTCTTTCCACTTGAAGAAACAGCAAAAACTGATAGCTTTAAGCTTCACTTCATTAAAGGATAAATGTTCTAGTGCATTTCTCAATGACACCTATTTTGGAACTAGGTGTATTTTCTTCTTAAAGGAAAAACAATTCTCTACATCCAAAAATTAGTTTCACTCACTGAATCTCACGGCACATTTTCTTCCATGCTTGCAGAACCTGTGACTTTACAGATAGGTCTGGAAAAGGGCACCACGTCCCATTCTGGTCGAGTTGGTGTTCGCTATGGTAATTCATGGAGTACTCTATGTTACGAGGGACTGGACTACCCTGATGTGAAAGTGATATGTCGAATGCTTGGATATGTGAACGTTGTTGATGTTTACGCTGTGAGGACACCAAGCTCTGCTAATGGTCGTGCCTGGCTTAGTGGTGTTGAGTGTAATGGAACTGAAGCTTCAATACTGAATTGCAGTCGTACAGGATGGTGGCAGACGACATGTGACTTTGACGCTGTAATCACGTGCAAGACACCAGGTACGTTAGAAAGTCTATCAAAATCTTAGGATTTCTCTTCAAACATGGCATGAATAGTACCTTAGTAAGATCCTTACATAAGATTAAATGTTGAAAGCCAAATTCTAATAGACAAGTACCCCATCTAGAAATAGCAGCACCGCTGATAGCAACAGCGTGCCTTCGTCAAGTCAGTATACCACTCCATCCTTTTTTCCAGGAAAAACAGCTGTAGAAATCCTTTTAGAAAACAGTATCACACCTAATTCTGGTCGCGTTGGTATTCGCTATGGTAACACATGGGGCACTCTATGTAACAAAGGAATGGATATGAACAATTCCAAAGTCATCTGCCGCATGCTTGGTTATGTTGGAGTAAGTCAAGTGTTCACGATTCCTGGAAATGGTACCATTTGGCTCAGTGATCTTGAATGCGGTGGAGCAGAAGACTCAATTGTTGACTGTAGACATTCAGGTTGGTGGAAGACAAGCAATTGTACCCATGACCAGGACGTTGCTGTCACATGCAACCTAGGTAAAGTATTGTAACCGGGACCGACTGTTTCAATATATTTCAAATTATGTAGCTTCGTTATCCATCATCTATTACGCTTAAGTCATGATTATTAAATTTGGTAAACATATTATTTAATTGATATCCTTTGGAAAGCGGATGCTCCTCAC